TAATGAATTTCGACGCCTCCCCCCCCCCCTCGCCGTCGCGACGCTCCAATTGTCATTTTGACATTTCAGTATAGCCAGAGGGACGAGGGGATATTTTTTTGTACAATTTCATTAGTCGAAGGAAAAAAATTCGCAAAATGAAAAACAAAGCGTATTGATTTTTTGTTCCGAGTGTACTTTGCTATTTTTTTTCTACGCTTAATATTATTTCTGTTGTATATATGCACTTCCGCGAAATTCTCGCGATTATTTTCTTCTAGTGCCTATAAACGTCGAGTGGTGTGGGAAAATTATTTCAATTTGTAAAAGGCCGGCCGAACGAGTGGCTGATGTCATTCTGCCACGTAGCGAGCAACTGTGGTAACATTTCGAAATTCTCGTAAAGGAGGCTAAACCTTCCTTTTCACGAGTATTTGCGCACCCCACTTTGTTCGGTATTGTATAAGCTTCGCTTCTCCACGAGTAACAGTGTCTATCCCATAGTTAGCAAGAACTGCTACGTTTACCTTACACACGATGGATACCTGCTGCTCTTTGTTATTCTACCACATGGGTTCAATAGGTTCAAGCAGTGACCCCAAAGTTCGTACTATTTACAAACAGATTGAAACTTTCGGTCCACCGGTTGGAAGTTCAGTATCGATAAGATAAATGTTATTTAGCAGGTGGATATGTATATACGATAGTTACGTATACTTTTGGTCAAATAAACAGAAGCAGGAAAGTACACTAGATTTTACTGCAGTCTGATTTAGTATGATATATCCCAACTTACTGTAGCTGCATGCAGTATGGTCGTATTGCGACTGACTGTAAAATCTTGGTGCACCGTGTTACTAAATGAAGTAATGGAAGGCTGCTGTGTCATAGGGGTCTTCCGTGGGTGCATATACGTGCCGAGAAGTCACCTCCGTGCGTTGTGTCATTACAATCGAAGGATTGCGGCCTTAAAAGTCTATTGACCATCGTGACCGGAGTCACGTAGGGTTTGGGCCTTACTTACGTATAGGTATACCTGTCCTGTTATACCTATAGGTATAACGGTATAGTTATCTGACTTTCCAGATGATTCGCACGCTGCAACTTGGATTGCAGCACAGGTAGGCTTGTATTTTTTTTCTTTCTTTATGACGCGTCCTATCTTTTTTCCTTCGTTCTCTCTTTCTTTGCTCGCGCATGGCAGTCGAACGCAGACAATGAGACCGAGTGCCAATCAGTGGGCGGGTAAAGGGACGTGCGGAGAATGACGTTCTTGCGTGATTGGAACGCTGCGGCATTTTAGGGCATTTTGTGGAATTTGAATTACAAAGTGGTCGGAGAGTGAGAAATGAGATGGGGAGAGAGTGGGAGAGACACATATTACGTGTATATATGTATATATGTAAATATGCATATACCTGGGTATTCGTAAAATCTGTCTGGCTTCGCCATTCTGCAGTTGCCAAACGTCATGACCCTTTTTCGATTCATTTTATTCATACGGTGTGCGTATTTTGTTTTCTATTTTTTTTCTCTTTCGCCTATTCTGTTCCCTTCATTCGGATACTGACCCAGATCCTAACGTAATTCAGCTCGCGATCGACTGTTCTTTAGGACTGGATTTTCGAAAAAAAAAAATTTTTCTTATCACGCGACTTTGTTATCGGCAGAGGAAATTGTTGAATTTTTAATTATCCAAAATTAGTCGATTTTTTTTTTACCTCATTAATATTTTATTTTTTCTTTGCTTCCTTTCGGGAGGAAGAGCACGAATCTTTTGTCTGGTTGTATATGGAGTTTATAAATTTCTTTGGAAATTAAAAATTCATTTTTTTTTTTCTTTGCGAATTTTAAAGTTTCTTCTTTTTTTTATACGTGGATGTTATAACTGTATTGTGTACTCGATGGTAATTTCCGTTCTTTCATTCTCACGTCGTTCCATCATCTTATTGTTATGTATAACGAGTTATCCGGATGTCTATTTACGTCTAGGTATAACGTATCAGGGAATGTCGTATTGACGAAGTGTCAATCGATCAGCCATAACAGTTCCAGGGCAAAGATCGAGCGTTCTGTCAGGTGAAAAATGAACGATGTTTTCCTGGCTCGAAAAAATTCGCCCGTTGAATCCTCGGTCATTTTGCACTTTCGCGAGGAAGGTCATGGTCAATGAGTTTCTAATGACATCGACGCACGATTGCCAAAGTTCGAGGACGTCGCGACGCTCGTGACTCGATAAATTACACAAAAATCACAGCCGACCGTAAATATAGTGAATTTTTCAAATTTGAATTAAAAATTTTTTTTTACAATATTTTCATTTTATCGAGCACAGTATGACGTATCAAGGATGCAATACCCATAGACACGTGATTATCATTAAGGGGCGAATTACGATTTCCTCGTAGCTCTGCTTTCCTTGGATGAAAATTTTTTTTTTAATTTTTAGGTGAAGATGATTAAGATGTTTCTTATACTTTTTCAAGGCACACGGGAGACAGGAAAGCAACTTAAGATTTTCTCTGACTGATTGGCCTGACTTTTTTATTCCTGTTTTCGTTGTGAACGGTCCTTGATGACCTTCTTGCAATACGACGGCTGATTATCCATACCGATCAAGGATAAGCGTAAAGTGATTACAAGACTTTGTAAACATCCTTTCCATGCTTCGGGAGCATCGGGCCTTCCACAGGGAAAATCTAATTCGCCCGGCGAAACGAGAAGAGGCTGCAGGATATTCTAGGAGAAGATTGAGCTTTATGATGTAAATGGATTTAACGTGGCGTGAAGTCTCGACTTAGACACTTTCGGCTTATCCGATACGGAGTTTGCGCACTTCATCCCTTATTTCTTTACAAGGCATCCTAATTCCCTTCGGCAATCCATCCCCTTGTACCGGGGGTAGTCGTCCTGGTTTTCAAATTCAAATAAGACGCTACCTACGCTCTATTTTTATTTGCCTCGTTTTATTTTCAGCTTTTCAAAAATCAAAATTCAGTTGGACCGGTACAGAAAAATCGATATTGCTTAAGGGACGTACTTGCCAATTTCATCCCGTAATTCTGAGACGTTTTTATCCCGCTATGTTAAAAAATTTTTTTTTTTTTTGAAATATCACAATATTTTTTTTTTTTTTTTTTTTTA